CTGCCCCTCCTCCTAACGGGTTTCCCCCCTCACCTCTTACCAGGCCCACAAGCTCTGATAAATATCATGCAGAACTGGTATTCCTTATTCACACCGGTGGAGGCGGCCACCATCGTGGCCGTGACTGGGACCACACAAGCCACTCTGCTGCGACTGCAGCTGGACACGTCCCGGAGGGAGGAGCTCTGGGCCTGCGCCCGCACCCTGGCCTTGCAGTGCGCCATGAAGGACCCTCAGAACTGCGCCTTGCCTGCCCTGACCCTGTGCGAGAAGAACCACTCGGCCTTCGAGGCGGCCTACCAGATCGTGCTGGACGCAGCGGCCGGCGGCCTGGGACACGCCCACCTCTTCACTGTGGCGCGCTACATGGAGCACCGCGGGCTGCCGCTGCGGGCCTACAAGCTGGCGACGCTGGCCCTGGCGCAGCTCAGCATCGCCTTCAACCAGGACAGCCACCCTGCCGTCAACGACGTGCTTTGGGCCTGCTCGCTCAGCCACTCCCTGGGCCGGCACGAGCTCTCAGCCATCGTCCCCCTCATCATCCGCAGCATCCACTGTGCCCCAATGCTGTCCGATATTCTGCGCCGCTGGACTCTCTCGGCACCGGGCCTGGGCCCCTTAGGGGCCCGCCGGGCCGCCAAGCCACTGGGTGCCGACCGGGCGCCTCTCTGCCAGCTCCTGGACGCGGCAGTCACCGCCTACATCACCACCAGCCACTCCCGTCTCACGCACATCAGCCCGCGGCACTACGGAGACTTCATCGAATTCCTGGGCAAGGCCCGGGAGACCTTCCTGCTGGCTCCCGACGGGCACCTCCAGTTCGCCCAATTCTTGGAGAACCTTAAACAGACCTACAAGGGCAAGAAGAAACTCATGCTTTTGGTGCGGGAGCGTTTCGGTTGAGGGGCAGTGGGGTGCGTGGGAGTGGGGAGTCCTCTCGCCCCTGCGTCTCCCACCCCTCCTCTCCAATTAGGCCACGTGGCGTTTCAGTATTATGAAGTCAGGGAAGGAGCCCGGCTGGAGATGGGGAACGGGGAAGCGGCGTCCTGCCACGTGTGTGCCTGGGAGTGTGCGAGGAAGTGTGCAAGGCTCGAGAAGCAGAAGCCATACCACCTCCCAGAAGCCTGGAAGGGGTGTGTGCTTGGGCTGCTGGTATGACCCCCCTTTGGACACCCCAAAAGCAATAGGCAAATTCCCCTTACCCAGGACTGGCTTGGGCTCTGGGAGCGAGGCTGGGAGGCAGGACTTCCCAGAAATCAGCCCTCTGAGTCAATGTAGCACATCCTCCCCCGACCCCACCCTGGGTGGCCAGGGGTCTTCCCCCCCCCCCTACTGCTCAGGGCCCCCCCCCCCCGTGCCACCCTCAAAGTGGCTGCCCAGCCAGAACCAATGCCTCACCCCCACTGAAGAATTTGAAGAGGCCTCAGGCCTCAGCCTCATACCTCACCTCCCCATTTTCTTGGGCACCAGGGTCCCAGGGTGGGCTCAGGGTTGGAGAAGTCATAGTTGCCCTCTCCTCTCACCTGCTAGTCACGGGACGTACAACTCAGGAACTGAGCGAGGCTCACACTGCCCCTCCCAACCCGGGGTCAGGGAACACAGACTGAGAGAGCCAGAGACCCCGCCCTCGATCTGGAAAGGAAAGAGACCTCCCTCTTGGCATTTTTCTGACTCTTTCCCTTTTTCTCCTCCTGTCTGTCTGCTTCGCCCTTTATCTTACTCTGTTTGCATTGTTCTCTGCATTTACCTGCCTTTGTTTCTGCACCTAAGTCCTTGCCCCCTCTCTCTTTGGCCATCCTTCTTTTCTACCACCTTGACCCAGGGTGGAGAAGGGAGACCATCGCACCCCCAGTCACCCCCACATCTTCTCCCTTCTTGTATATTAAGGACAAAAGATCATGTCATTTTGTAACTTTTTTTCTATTTATTGAACCATATATATCCTTTTATCCTTTTGTGGGGTTTTTTTTGTTTTTTTTTAAAGATTGAACACGGCTTTTTAACTTTGAGACCGGGGTGCATCTCCAGAGCCACTCACACCCTCAACCCTGTTTCCTCCACACACACACACACACACACAAAATATATATATATATATATATATATTGCCTCATTTCTGAAGCGAGGGGTGGGATGAGAGGAACTCCTGGCTTCATTGCATGGTAATTATGTAAATTTTTTTTTTTTTTTTGGTGTCACTCAGTCGCCCAGGCTGGAGTGCAGTGGCATGATCTCAGATCACTGCAATCTCCACCTCCCGGGTTCAAACGATTCTCCTGCCTCAGCCTCCCAAGTAGCTAGGATTACAGAGTGTGCCACCATGCCCTGCTAATTTTTGTATTTTCAGTAGAGACAGGGTTTTGCCATGTTGGCCAGGCTGGTCTCGAACTCCTGACCTCAGGCGATCCGCCCACCCCAGCCTCCCAAAGTGCTGGGATGACTGGCATGAGCCACCGTGCCCGGCCTTATGTAAATATTTCAAAACAGGGATGGACAGCTCACCATGAGGGAACACAGAGCCGAATGCGGTACTGCTGTCATTTAATCGTCACGGCAGCTCTATGAGTCGGTAGGATTATCTTTTCCATTTTAAAGATGAGAAAACAGGTTGCAAAGTGGAAAGAAAGGACACACAGCTAGGATGTTTGATTCAGGACCTCATGGCACAACTGACCCCTGCCCACCCCTGGCTGCAGGGCCCTTGAACCCTGGGAAAGGCCACGATGGGGGATTGGGGGCGCCCTGTTTCCAGACACCAACATTGGGGGTCCTTGACTCCAAATTGCTGAGCATGGGAGACTGTGGGAGGTGTTGTGTGCAGCTGGATGGGGAAGACACCCCGATTAAAAGCGGGAACCTCAAGTTTAGACTCTACCTAGGTGGGCGGGGATCTGGCCAAAGAAGAAAAGCAGAGTGGGCGTGGTTGGGGTGGTGGCGCTCGCTGGGGGGCGTGGCCAGGGCGTGTCTGCGCCACTGAAGTGGCCTTCCAGTCCTCAGAGTGTGGAATCCAGGGGACGGCGAGAAAGCTCGTGGTTGTCTAAACGTCCCTGGCTCCCCGAGAAGCAATTTCCTCGGGGCCTTCTTGCCTTTTGGACGAATCGACGGACTGTGTCTGGGTCACTGTCAAGGCCGGGGCAGGAAAGAACAGAGGCTTCTCGGAGGGCCTGGGCCCGCCGCTAGAGGGCAGTGGGCTCAGTCGGGGGTGGGACTTCGGCGGCGCTGGGCGCAGCGATTGGCTTTTGGCACCGCCCCTCTGCTTGAGGAGACCAATTGGAGACGGCCCCACCTCCTGCCCCTCCACGCTTATTCCCGCAGGTATGTGCCGGCGAACCTGGGACTAGCCCGCGCCCCGTGGCGCCGCCTGGAGGTCTGGGACGGTGGAGGTGGGTGGAGAGCCTGGAGTGTACCCCCTTGTGGTCCCTGTGCCTCCAAATGTCACCTTTGGACCTGGGGGACCCTTTATTATGCCCCTCAGGTGTCACTGAGGTGTCATGGACCTGGGGCGTCACGCGGGTCCCCGCCACATCCAAATGTCCCTTAGGACCTGGGGTTTCCTTCATGTCACATCCTTCAAACCCAAGTTCCCCTCCAGCATTCTCAGATACCAGGCACCCCAAATCTGCCCCCGTGGGTCTGAGTAATTCTGTAGGTCCAAGTTGCCCCAAATGTCACTAGCTCAAGACCCTCAGGTCCTGGTTATCGCCACGTCACCCCTCAGGCTCAGCGTTTCCCTCAGGGTCACCTCACCCACCACCACTTCAGATCCGCTTCCATTCTCCCTTGATCAGTGATGTGGAAACCTCTCCAGTCTAGGGTTTCCCTCACCGTGACCCACAATCCAGGACACCCCCAAGGTTCACGCTTCCAAGCACAGGGCACCCTGCTGCTGTCCTCAGAGCAGGTGGGGCAGGGATGGGCAGGCAGGCATCCCGAGTGCCAGCACAGTAAATTCAGGCCAAGCAAAAGCTGAAACTCCAGCGATGGGAGGCAGGAGTGAATCACAGACCAGACCTTCAGGAATGAAGTCAAGGCAACTTTTATTTACTTCAACAACAGACATGACACACAGCACAATCTCTCCTCTCCCTCGCATCCCAAGCTTCTGTCCACGCCTACCCAGGGCGGGGAAAGGGGCAACGGCCAAGCCCCGATGACCTGGGGACTTCATTGTCCCTGCTTAGTCTCATCCAGAAAAGAGCCTCCTCCCATCTGATTTCAAGATAGTAGAGAGAGGCCAGGCAGGGTGGCTCACACCTGTAATTCCAGTGCATTGGGAGGTTGAGGTGGGAGGATGGCTTGAGGCCAGGAGTTCAAGACCAGCCTGGGTAACATAGTGAGACCCCTCCCCCATCTCTAACAAAAATTAAAATTAAAATTAGCCAGGTGTGGTGGCACATACGTGTAGTCCCAGCTACTGGGGAGGCTAAGGCGGGAGGAACACTCATGCCCAGGCATTCAAGGTTGCAGTGTGCCGTGATCATACCACTGCAATCCTGCATTCCAGCCTGGGTGACAGAGCGAGAGTCTGTCATCTTAAAAAAAGCCTGGCATGGTGGCTCACACCTGTAATCCCAGCACTTTGGGAGGCCAAGACAAGCAAATTGCTTGAGGTCAGGAGTTCAAGACCAAACTGGGTGACATGTTGAAACCTCCTCTCTACAAAACATTTTAAAAAATTGGCTGGGCGCAGTGGCTCACCCCTTTAATTCCAGCACTCTGGGAGGCGGGTGGGTCACCTGAGGTCAGGAGTTGAACAGCCTGGCCAACATGGCTTAACCCTATCTCTACTAAAAATAAAAAATTAGCCGGGCGTGGTGGCAGGTGCCCAGCTACTCGGGAGGCTGAGGGAGGAGAACTGCTTGAACCGGAGAGGTGGAGGTTGCAATGAGCTGAGACGTGCCATTGCACTCTAGCCTGGGCAACAGAGCGAGACTCCATCTCAAAAATAAATAAATAAATAAATTAGCCAGGTGTGGTGGCGGGCGCCTGTCGTCCTCAGCTACTCAGGAGGCTGAGACAGGAGAATCATTTGAACCCGGGAGGCAGAAGTTGCAGTGAGCCAAGATGGCACCACTGCACTCCAGCCTGGTGACAGGGCAGGACTTTGTCTCCCCCCCAGAAAAAAGCAGAGTCCTAACCCTTCCCTGCCCTGAGACCCCCCGCAAGGTGGGAAGGATCAGCTATTCCCAGCTGAGTTCCCAGCGCCCCAGAACTAAGCAGACCTGCTTGTGTCCCTTCTGGCTCCACATGGACCCTGTTCCGTGCCCGACATGTGGGGTGGGAGTCACTGCTCCTTCTGGCCGTTAGAAAGCTACAGGGCCCAGGGAGAAGGGGCCAGGTCAGGTCAGCCCAGTCTGATTCCGGAAGCCAGGAGTTGGCATCTAACGGTCTGGAGCCCAAGGCAGCTTCCTCTTGAGTAACTGGCTGCCCCTGCCTGGCTTGGGAGAGGAGGAGCCAAGCCTCCAGGCCCAGAAGGGACACAGCTGGCTTCCCTTTTTATGGAAGGGCCACCTAAACTCACCCACCTGTCTACACTGGCACCACAGCCCAGCCTGAGCTGTGGCCATGGAGGGGTCCCCAGTTGCAGAATTGGGGAACAGGACACGCAGCAGACGTTTGGGCCCAGCCAGCCCCACCCTCCCAACCCTCCCGATGTCCCTCCTCCAGACACAGGTCTGACTCTGAGTCCTCATCTCCGCTCCACTCATCAGCCCACCCAGGGGAGGCAGGGGCTGCGGGCTCCAAGCAGGCTTGACCCCTGTTCCTGCTGAACTGAGCCAGTGTGCACAAACCAACTGTGTTTCAGCTCAGTAGGCACGGGAGGCAGAGCCCAGGGAGGCCGGGCAGCAGGACAGCAGACAGACGGGCGGCAGCAGGGGACAGGCGGCAGGGCCGGAGGAGGTGAGGGCCTGGGGGGCGGAACTTAGCCACTGTGAACATGACTTGGAGTGAACCCTGCTCACAAGCAGCTAAGCCCTGCTCCTCAGGCCAGGCACAGGCTTCGGGGCTCTCTGCCACCCCGTCCCCGGGCGGCATCCTCGGTGGCAGAGCTCAGGGTCGGTTGGAAATCCCTGGCAATGTGATTTGTGATAGGCAGCAAATCCCATCCCCAGGAACCCCAGCCGGCCATGGCACAGGGGTGAGGGGGCACTGGGCGGGGCCAGAGGCTGGCACCTGGAGGGGAGAGAGAGAGAGAGCAAAGGAGGTGATGAGATTTGGGGACACCCTCCCATCTAGGTCCCCAGACGGTTCCTTTCCATCACAGGGAAGCCCTTTTCTCATACGCAGGAGCAACCGCACATGGACGGCAAGGTAGAGCCAGCCCCAGTGCTGGAGAGGCAGAGATACCGAGAGGGCCTGTGCATTACAAGGAGACTCCAGCAACTTACAGGACCCAGCTGCCCTTCACTGAGCCCTGGGCAGGCCAAACGGGGCCATGGGGAGAGGAAGCCGGGTGGGGGGCAGGCAGGCGGGTGAGGAAGTGATCTCACCCCAGCTGGCGCCACTTCCTAGAAGCCTGGAGGGCTGGAGGAAACCACCAGGGCCTCCCCCCGCCATGGCCCCGTCTCCTCAGTGGCCAGGACTTAGCCCACACCCACCAGGGCGGATGCCGGCAGCAAAGCACCCCCCTCTCCCCCTAGACATGCACCCCCTGCACCCCCAGAGCACAGGATCCAAGCTCGAAGATACAGGCCTCTCCATCCAAACAGCCTGAAGTTCAAATCCCTGCTCCACAGTTTCCCAAAGACCCTTCCAAGCCTCAGTTTTCCCATCTGTAAAATGGAGCCAAGAGCCTCTCTGGCATAGCCCAGTGAGATGTCACTCAGTGTGTATGTCACTCGGTAAGTGTCCGACACAAGGGCAGGCTACAGAATTTTCGGAACCCGGTGAAAAATGAACACATGGTCCTCTAGTTCGAAAACTAAGAATTTCAGGCCAAGCATGGTGGCTCACGCCTGTAATCCCAGCACTTTGGGAGGCAGGAGGGTCACCTGAGGCCAGGAGTTTAAGACTAGCCTCAGCAATATACTCATCTCTACAAAAAACTCTTTTTTTTTCTTTTTCTTTTTTGAGACAGGGTCTCACCCTGTCACCATGACTAGTGTGCAGGGGTGCAATCACAATTCACTGCAGCCTCAGCCTCCCAGGTTCAAGTGATCCTCCCACCTCAGCCTTCAGGGTAGCTAGGACAGGCATGTGCCACCATGCCTGGCTAATTTTTATTCTTTTTGTAAACAGGGTTTCACCATGTTGCCCAGACTGGTCTCCAACTCCTGGGCTCAAGCAGTCTGCCTGCCTCAGCCTCCCAAAGTGCTAGGATTACAGGCATGAGCCACTGTGCCTGGCCCACAAAAAATTCATTTAAAAATCAGCCAGGAGTGGTGGTACACACCGGTAGCCCCAGCTACTCAGGCAGCTGAAGTGGGAGGTTTGCTTGAGCCCAGGAGTTTAAGGCTGCTGTGATCTATGATCATGCCACTGCACTCCAGCCTAAGTGACAGGGTAAGACCCTATCTCTAAAATAAACAAAAACAAACTTAAAAAGAAAAGAATTTCAGGCTGAGCAAGGCAGCTCATCCCTATAATCCTGGCACTGGCACTTCAGGAGGCCAAGGCAGGATGATGGCTTGAGGCTAGGAGTTCAAGACCAGCCCGGGCAACACAGCGAGATAAAAAAATTAATTAAAAAAAAAAAAATCATGACCCTGGCAGTACAACATTAAACTAAGCTCCAGGTCCCTCACTGCCCAAGTCAGAAACTCATGAAGCTTTGGCTGGGCGCAGTGGTTCATGCCTGTAATCCCAGCACTTTGGGAGGCTGAGGCGGGTGGACCACGAGGTCAAGAGATGGAGATCATCCTGGCCAACATGGTGAAACCCCATCTCTACGAAAAATACAAAAATTAGCTGGTTGTGGTGACAGGCGTCTGTAATCCCAGCCACTAGGGAGGCTGAGGCAGAAGAGCTTGAACCAGGGAGTTGGAGGTTGCAGTGAGCGGAGATCGAGCCACTGCACTCCAGCCTGGCAACAGAGCCAGACTCTGTCTCAAAAAAAAAAAAAAAAAAAAAAAACACAAAAGCCATGAAGCCGGCCCTGAGTCTTCAGTAAATGGAGGCTCTTTTGATAAGAGCCTAACACCTGGCTAGCAGACTCCAGTTTTGGAGCCCAAGTCCGCCCAGATTTGAAAGCCCCAGCTCTGCAGCTTCTGAGCTGGGTAACTCTGAGCAAGTCACTTAACCTCTCTGGGCCTCAGTTTTCCCATCTGCAAAACAGGGATAATAAGTCTGGACTTCATAAGTCATGGTGAGGTCCCCATGAAGAAGAAATGTGATCACGACAGAGCTGCTGCTATCTCTGCCCGGCAAAGGACAACGGAAACATGGGCGTCTCACACCAGGAGGACCCCAGTGTCCACCCCATCTGGTGGCGCTCACCCCTGGGAGACAGGCGGCAAGGGATGTCCTGCTTTGTCCCCTCCCCGTACATGCACACACACATACCAGCCACTCTTTCCCAGCAGGCCCCAGCCCAGCCCTGTCCCCTTAGGGTCTGGAGGCGCCAACTGGGAGCAGGCGAGGCCCCGCAGGGCGGCCAGCCTCCCGGGCCGCCTCCGGAAGTGAGACAGCACATTCGTGTCCCAGGGACGAGAACGGGAAGGGCGGCCATTTGGCCAGGCTCGTTTCCTGTGGGGTTTCCCCTGCACAGAGCCCATGGCTGGGGCCAAGGCCACTCCCCATCCCTGCAGGCACAAAAGGTCTGGGTCTTGAGTGGAAGGGGCACTGCCATGCAAGTGCCAGGGAGCCAGGGTCTCCTTTACCAATCGTGGTGCATTTCTCAGGCTCCTGGGAGATGGTGTCCAAGGGGAGACCAAACTCTTGGCAGCTGGAGGCATGAGGGAGAGGGCGGGTCCCTGGGCCGGGGAGCAAAGCAGGCCCCGGGCTGCACCAGGACACCCCGGCCAGCCAAAGCATGTGTGCATGCCCGAATACCCCTCCAGACAGCGTGTGCGAGAACCAGACACACGCGGGTATGTATGTGTACCGCTACCCTCCACCCCATGCTCCAAGAATGAATCAGGGGCAGCTTCCGCCGGGGGCGCCACCACCACCTCCGCCCCCAAGCCTGGTCCCCAAATACTTTCCACCCTCACAGAGCAGCTGGGATCGGAAAATACCAAGGGCTGCAGGCCCCGCCCTGCCCGCCGCGCCACCCGCCCTCCCAGCCTGTCACTAACGTTTTGCTTAATGGGCCCAGACTCTCAGCAGAAGCTCCGTGGGCTGGGCCCCGAGCCAGCCACCAACCTGGGCTGCCCGGCCAAGCGCCGCCTGACCACCAGCCCCCCGCCCCTGCCCCAATCCCAGGGCAGCGGCAATAACAACCACCCCAATGGGCCGCCCTCAGAGGGTGGCACCGGGTGGGGGAAGTCAGGGCACTGACAAATGGGTGGGCCCCACTGCCCACCCAGGGCTGGGGTGGGGGAGACTCAGGAAGGGGTGAGTAAGTGAGGGGTGAATCACTTGTTATAAATAGGGGAACCATGAAAGTGACATCCCAGCCCCCATCGCGTCCGGCCAGTCCACACTCTAACCCCTCTTTAGACTTTAATCTTTCCCAGCCCAATCACAGAATTCCCAGGGGCCCCTCACCTTCATGCTGGGAACCCTCAGTAGAGGGACACCCCCATCGTCACATCCACCCCTGCCTTCTCCCTACAGAAGTGCGTGTTGCAGCGAGGGCCTGGCTTTGGGGGTTCACTGGTCTTGAAAGCAGCCACTGGCTTCTCGGCCCTATCCACCTCCCTCAACACGCCAATTCCCAGGCCCAAGACTTAGGGTCCCTGGGCTCCCCAAGGCATTTTCAGAGTATGGGCCACCACGGTCCTCGAGGGCAACCCCAGAATCGAGGCCAGGCGGGAGGACCCAGGGCTTGGCGTGTCTTCTAAGTCAGTTCCCCAGGTACCTCGCCACCAAGGGCCCACATCCTAGACCACCCAGCCCTGCTCTGCCCAGGGCCACAGCTCAGTGACCACACCCAGGGTGGCGCCAGCTCCAGCACCCTGGGGCAAGACATCGCTGGAGCGTGACTCAGCCATGCCCAGCATGGCGGCGCCCTTCTCTGCCCAAGGATTCTCACCCACACCCACTGCCCTCCGCTCACATCCTTCCCAGGCGTCCAGCCCTGAAGGACACACCTTCCCCAGACACACCTCTGCGTCCACCCAGGACACCAGGAGGGAAAGCGGCGGCCAGGGAGAGGGAGTACCGCCTCCGTCCCATTTCCAAACGCTTCCTATTTACAGACAGAATAATTGAGGCTCACAGATGCAGATCGGGGCTTAAGGTCACAGAATAAGTCTCAGGAAAAAAAAAAAAAAAGCTAGGAAGCTAGGCCTGTGGCATAAAACACATCCAACATGGAAAACAGAGGGACAGGAAGGAGTTTTCTCAAGATCGCCCAAGGTTCCTGGCGCCATTATTCACGAAGGACAGAATCCCCCACCCAGCCTCCCAAGGCGAAGGACAAACTCAGAAAAATGCCTTAAGAGTTATCAAAGCACCACCTAGGCCAGGGCGAGCGGGTCACTGTAATGTACCCACCAGGTCAATTACACTGGGATTGCAGATGGATGGAGGCCTGCCCGACCGACAGCTGTGGCCTACATGGAACATCTGGCGTCCACTTGCATTGTTAGAGGGTGGGCACGACACGGGGGTCCCTCCTAAAGCATCCGCCTCTGCCGTCTTTCTCCAGCGAGCAAGGGTCGGCGGAGGCTCAGAGGCCGGGCCTGCACAGACAGGCCCGACCCCCTGGACACGCCCTGTCACGCATGTGCTCCGAGTGCCAGCCCCAGGCCAGGCCGGCACCTATTTTAGGGCCCCCTCTAGGTCCATGGGCAAGGCCTGCCTGTTGGGGTCTTGAAGGAGCTCCCAGAGGACACGATGCAAGGGCAGAGGGCCACGGGTGCCTCACGGATCAGAGAACAAAGCTAGCACCAGCCCCTGGGCCTGTGCCTGCCCAGGACATCGGCATGTGAACACATGTACCCAAGCTGGCCCGGGCAGGGTGTGTGGGCGAGCGGACAGGGTGTGTCCAACATCACCTCGCCTCTAAGCCTGGGCACCTGTTGGGCACAACACAACCCTCTGGCTAGGGCAGGACTGCCAGAGGACACCCCTTATGCCAGGGGTCCCACAGACCCCGGTCTCACCCTCAAAGACCAGGAGTCATGGGCTGCCAGTTGGGGAGAGCCGGAAAGGGGCAGATGACAGGGAGCCAGTTGCACAGCCAAAACATTCAAGAAGCCGCTGGGCTGGGTTGAGCTGGGCTGGGCTGGGCTGGGCTGGGCAGGAAGGTCAGTTAGGGCTGAGGGCTTTGGGGCTGTCAAATCGAGCGCTGAAATCAGAGAACAGTCTGGGGCTAAGACAGAGGGGTTGGGGTTCAGTCTGGGCCCTTTTAACCTCCGCCTGCAGCCTAAAGGCATGGACCCCGAGATGCACAGGGCTGATCCCCACCCTGGCTTCCCTTCCTATGCAACCTTGAATGAGTGTTTTTCTCTTGGATCAGGAGAAAGGACAGGAGACGTTCCCCTAAGACCCCACCAGCCCCTGCCCAAGAGGAGACCTTCCCCCTACCCACTAGGCGACACGTCAGGAACTTGAGCCAGTATCCACCCCCGTCTCCATTCAAAGAACTCTGAGACCCCCCCTCAACCCATTCCTCCCGTCCAAAGAGCAGGTCGGGGGTGGGCCTGGGGAGGCACACGCAGATCCATACCCCTCAACCCAAGCTCCAACCCGAGCCGCGCACGAGCCCTCCCACCCTGCCAACTCTCTGCCCACCTCGACCTGCCCAAGTCGCGTGGGGACCCGCCCTCTCCACCGCATTCCCATTCGTCCCGGGGGGTCGGGATGGGTGGGCCCTGGGAAGGGAGCAGAGGCCGGGCCGCCCTTCCCCCGCTCCGTAGGGGGCGCCCCGGGACGCCGCCGCCGCCGTCAGACGCACCGTCCCCGCTCCCGGACTCACCCCGGGCGGAGGGGCGCGCAGGGCGAGCGGGGCGGCGCCCTCCCCTTCTCGCAACGCTCCTGGGGACCCGCCGGGCGCACCCCCACTCCGCCCACGAGCCCGGCGCGGAAAAGTTGCCGGCGCCGCTGTCGCCGGTCGCCCCCGGCCTCCCTCCCGCGTCCCTCCCGACTTCCACTTACCCGCGGGGGGGAGCCGGGCGCGCACTCCGGGCTCCGGCCGCCGCCCCGGGCCGGGCCGGCCCACGCTCAGGCCGGCGGACTGCGGGCCCGAGACCGGCCGAGGGCGGCCGCCGCCGCGCTCCACCCCACTCACTGGCCGGCCCGCCGCGGGGCCGAATCGCTTTTAAAACCTTCCCGTCTCCTCCCCCCACTCCCCGGGCCGGGCAGGGGGCGGGCGCGGGGCGGGGCGGGCGTCGCCGTCATGTGCCCCCGGAGCCGGCCCGCCCCCACTTTCTCTGTCCTGTCCCCCAACTCGGTCCCGTCCCCAACTCAGGGCCAACTTTCTCCCTCCTTGTCCCGGAACCAGCCTGGGCCCCAAACCCAGCCCGGCTTCCCCCTCTGGACCCTGAACGTGGGTCCCAGTCCCGGGTTTTCAGCCCAAAGCTCTGTCTGCAGGGATAGGGTGGGAGCAAAGGGTCTAACCCCCCATCCCACCCCTGGAACCCCTGCTGGCCTAGGGCCTGTGTGGGAAGAGGCAACTCGGGATGCCGTGAGCCCCTGGGAATAGAGATTAATAAGGGGCGGTTTGTGGGGGGGGCTCCGTCCCAGACCCAGAGCACACGGGCCACTGCAGATCCCTCCCCGGGAGGGGGGGCCTGAGTCTGGGTATCGTTCTGGGATGCCACCACACAGGAACCCCCACTTCCTCCAGTTCCACCGCACCTTCTCCAGCCTTAGAAAGTTCCTCCTCTTATCCCACCTAACCCTCTCCTGCTGCCATCGAAAAGACTTTCTGGTTCCAGGCCATGCGGTCCCTACGTCTGAGTCCCCTCCCCCTAGGCTTCCCGGCACCCTCCCCCACCCACTGGGACCTCTGGGAAACTCCCGAGCTCCCTGAGAGCAAAGCCCTCCCTGGATCCCTCCCTCTTTCCCGGTGTGCCAGTCTTTCCCGCTCCATCCGCCACTGGAGGAACACGGCTGCATTGTTCCTCAGGACCAGGCCCTGCCTCGGGGCCTGGCCCGGTGCCCAGGTGGGGGGCCGGGAACCTGGAACAAAACTCCAGAATAGAGGGGCGGGGTGCCCTCTGCGACCAAGCCAGCCTCCTTGGGCATGTCCTGCTGCCATCTGCCCTCTCCAGGCCTCGACAAAGACCGATGGACCCCTCCCCACCACCCAGGACCACCATCATGTCGCAGTGGGGGTCTGGAACCAGCAGGGCCCTTCCCAGACCCGGGTGGACATTGCTTTAGGGGACGATTTTTCCCACTCAGCCCCCAATATTTTTGAAGTGGCATCCTTGGGGCTGGGGATCCAATTCTTCATCCACGTCCTGGGTGGTAAGAGGGCAGCCTCCTCTTTTGAGTAACTGTGGGGGTGAGGGCGCGGGAGTGTCCAGCAGCAGGCCGTCCAAGGGACTGGAGGGACTGGTTGGATGCCTCTGTGTCATCTTGCATCCCAGAATTCCTCCAGGGTCCCCCATTTCATCAGTTCATCTCATCTGGCTCTCACCTCGGTACCTGGTGGGACTGGGGAGAGGGAGCTAGGAGCCACACCCAGCTACCATCCTGTGGGGCCCAGCCCTGGGGGCCCCGGGGTCTTTTCTTCCCTGTGGGGCCGAAGGGGCAGGCTGGCCCAGGATGCAGGATCTGACAGGTTGGGGCAGGAGGGGGCAGAGCCGCCCAGTGGGGCCCTGGGGGAAGTTTTGGGGTGGCACAGAATTCCCCAACTCAGGGCGGGGCGTAGAAGGTGGGAGCAGCTTGCCACATGACCTTCTGAGCAGCTACACACAAGAATGGCATTTCCAGGGCATGCCTGGGGGGGGGGTCTCCCTGTGGGGGACACACACACACAGACACACTTGTCATTGCAAAAGTACAAAGTGACCAAATTACAATGACAAACAGAACTTGGATCTCTACCACACCCTCATCCACGTTGCCCCTCCAGAATTCCCTTCACCCCAGAACAAGGTCTTCCACCCAGGCATTGCCTTTCCAGTCATCGGTCCAATTCACATTCAGGGAGAACACCTCCTCCATGCTGGCCTCTGGGGATACCTCTTCTCCAGATTCCTTCTTATCTAATTTTCGATCTTCTGTTGCATGTGGCTCGGACCACACCCCAGCTCACTAGTATCCCTCAGGCCCAGGCTTGGAGGGTCCTCCCAGAGCCCCCACCCCTCCCTCTGGGTCCCTTGGCATTGACTTCCACAGGCCCTAGTCCTCAGCCTACTGGTTTACCCAGGGGACAGCAGGTGAGGGAGTGGTGAAGGTGAGACCAGGTCAAGTGGTCAAACGGCATGGCATGCGTGCGTGTGAACACACACTCACACATATGCCCTTTTGTTCATTCTACAAACATTGAGTGCCTGATGTATGTATGTCAGGCTCTGCTCCAGGCATTTGGGAACAGGGAAAAGAAGAAAACAGAAAAGAAAAAAAAAATCCCTGTACTTTTGAGACCAGTATATATGGGAGAAACAAACCTGATAAGCAGATAGATAGGTATAAAGATATATAATGTTCACGGTGGTGGCGGCTCACACCTGTCATCCCAGCACTTTGAGAGGCCGAGGCAGTGGATCGGCTGAGGTCAGGAGTTCGAGACCAGCCTGGCCAACATGATGAAACCCCGTCTCTACTATACAAAAATTATCTGGACGTGGTGGCGGACAGCTGTAATCCCAGCTACTTGGGAGGCTGAGGCAGGAGAATCACTTGAACCCGGGAGGCGGAGGTTGCAGTGAGCTGAGATCACCCCACTGCACTCCAGCTGAGATAGCGCCACTGCCTTTCTTTATGTATATTAAAAAAATGTTTGGTGGTAAGTCTAGGGGTAATCTAGAAAAAGGCAAGAGAGGTGAGAGATGAAGTGTGGAAAGGCCTCCCTGAGGAGGAGGTGACATTTGAACAAAGACTTTTAGGCACTGAGGGAGAAGCCACGCAGACATCAGGAGGGAGAGAGTCCCAGGCAGAGAGTGGGCCATGCACAGGCTTTGAGGTAGGTATCGTGCCTGGGACATTTGAGAGCCAGCAAAGCCGACCAGTATCGTCGAGGCAGAGAGGGGGTGGAATGGAAGAAAAACACAGTTTTTGTTGCTGTTTTGAGAAGGAGTCTCACTGTGTCGCCCAGGCTGGAGTGCCTCCCAGGTTCAAGTGATTCTCCTGCCTCAGCCTCCCAAGTAGCTGGGATTACAGGTGTGCGCCACCATGCCTGGCTAATTTTTGTATTTTTACTAGAGACAGGATTTCATGATGTTGACCAGGCTGCTCTCGAACTCTTGACCTCAGGCAATCTATGTGACCTCAAGTGGCATGATCTTGGCTGGAGTGCAGTGGCGCAATCTCGGCTTCCTGCAACCTCTACCTCCTGGGTTCCCAAAGTTCTGGGATGACAGGCATGAGCCACCGTGCCCGACCCTACACCCCAGCTTTCTAGCTGGATGTCTTTGGGACCAGGTGATTACACTTCCCTAAGCCTCAGTTTTGTCAGCTGAAAAATGGGGCTGAAAATGTACAATTTAAAGTTGTCACCAGGCTCTGAGGTCACACGTGTAATGTGCTGACTCCAGGTAGAAAGAGTATAAGCCGCCGATTGCACACTGATACACCAGGTACACTGGGATCTAGGGACCCTGACAGGCCCCGCCGGCCCACAGGTCACCCCGACTCACATGCAGGGCTGCCTGCGGGCCCCATGGCAACGCCGCACACAGAGACATCAAACAGGCCGGCCGAGGAAGTCCCACGTCACTGTGGTTAGCGTGGCTCCTCCCAGCCCAGCCCCCGGCTGGCAGCAGTGATCCCCCTTGCCAGTCAGCGCCCCTGCCTCCTGTCGCCCTGGCGACCAGCTGTGTTATGGACTGAGCCCGGATCCGCCACATCCCTGCCCCCTCACCAGGGCACCAGCCACTCCCCACATCCGGAGACGACATTACACGGTGGCCCCAGCTCACTGAGACAAACCCAGCCGCCTGGTGTCTGGAGCACCAAGAAAGACTTTGTCTGCCTAAGTAATGGTTCAGAGGGACAGGTCCCAAGGATCGGTGGGGACCCCCAGCCAGGTGCCCGAAATCCCCAGGGAAGGGTCCCAGTATTGCTCAAGGGCACTGGTGGGGCAGGTCAGACAGGAATAGCCCCCAGGCCTGGCCCAGCCCCCACCTCAGGAATGACTCACCACCCACCCAGTTCCCGATGACATCAAGGCCTGGCCTGCCACCCTGACCTGGCCCCAGGCCAGAATGGGGGGGCGTCCAAGAACTGTCACATCTGGCTGTCCCTGCCTGGCTGGGGCCTGGCACGCGCAGGGTTAAGGAGGAGCCCTTCTGGGGGTCTCCCCCCTTCATCAGATCCCCCCCTTTCCCGGGGATTTCGGGCCCCAGCCCCTCTGACGTCACTGGGGGTTGCTATGGCAACTGGCCGAAGTTCCCAAATAAAATTACCGCGGGCGGGTTAAGTTTCCTAGGAGGCAGCCGACGGGTAAACAATGGCGGTGGCAGGCGGGGCCGGCGAGCGGCCGTCTCCCCCCTCCCATCCCCGACTCCGCTGGGACCTGGGGGGTCCCTGGGGCGAGCAGCAGGGTCCCCCTTCCTGCCCAGGACCTGAGAGCCCTCGAGCCAGCCAGGGGACTGGCGCCCCGATGGGGGACAGCGAGGCCACGACCCAGATGAGCGGGGGATGGGGGCGCGGGGGGCTTTGGAGGGAAGGCTGGGGCGGCGGGGAACAAAGAGGGGACCGGAGGCCTGGGGATCCACCCTCCGCACGCCCTCCCCCCGGCACCCCGCTCCCGGCCGGCCGCCAGTCCAGCTGTGGCTGTTCCCAGCTGCCTGGCTCCCCACATCTGGCGGGCCGCGCGCTCACTTCCTGTCGCCCCGGCTGCCTGGAGGGAGGTAAAAATAACCCGCCCCCTCCCCCTGCCCGCGGCGCAGACGTCGGATCCATCCAGCCTGGAGGAGGGCGAGGCCGAGCCTCAGCCTCAGCCCGGGAGAGGAGGCCCCCTGAGGCCGCCTCCCGTGCTCCCAGTGCCTCGGAGTCCTGGAAGGAGGGGCGCAAGTAGGGGTGCCACAGAGCGTAGGCTGCGCTGGGGGTCTGGGGAAGCTCAACCCGTGAGAAGGGCCCTTACCTGGGTCACCAGCAACCCAGGGAACCATAGTGTCCAAGCATCCCCCCCCCACCTCCACCACGATCCCCTGTAGGAAGGGGTTCAACCTCTGAGTGTTGGGGGACTGCCACCAACATGCTCGCGTTCCAATCAAGGGTCATCCACTTACTAACCTAACCGTATAGACAAGTTACCGAAACACACACACATACCAAAAGCAGTAACTGCTCCAGGCCTCAGTTTACCTCGCTGTAAAATGGGCATGATAGAAGTATTCACTTCAAAGTGCATTTGTCGGCTAGGAGTGTTGACTCACTCCTGTAATCCTAAAACTTGGGTGGGAGGCCGAGGCAGAAGGATCACTTGAACCCAGGAGTTTGAGACCAGCCTGGGCCACATGGTGAGACCCCCATCTCTATGAAAAAATGAGTAAGTAAAAGGAAAATACATTTAAAAAAGAAAAACAAAGTGCCTTTACTCCCTGTGTATTAGCTATGATTATTGCCCCCTCCCCAGGGGCCCCTGAGACCCGCCCCCCTCCACCAAGTGGAGTTCCCGGATAAAACACAGGACACCCAGTGAAGCTTGATTTTTCAGATACACAACGGATCTCTTTTTTTAGTATAAGTATGTCCCATGCAATTTTGGGGACATCGCTATACTAAAAAAAAAAGTTTTATACTAAAAAAAATTACTTGTTCTGTATCTGAAATTCAAATGTAACTGATGTCCTGTATTTTTTATTTGTGAAATCTGCCAACTGTATCCTTAAGTCACCATCATCTCTGGCCTAAATATATTCCAACAGCCACCTCCCTGGTCCTCTCCGACATTACTTATGCCTTCTATCCATTCTCCAGAGACGGCCCATTAAATCCAATCACGTGTCCCCTCTACCTTCCACTTTGAAAAGTTCCTCTGTGTCCCAACCTCTCCCCAGGGAGGTCCTGCCTGTTACCCACCACCTCCTGAGCATCCTTCAGGTCCCAGAGTATCACCTTCTCCAAGAAGCCCTCCTCACCTTCTTGGCTTTAGACTGTCCCGGAATCCTGTAACTCATCCATCTCCCCTATTCAACCAGTTGAGTGATTGACTCAGCCATTTGAGTCAAATGGACATTTCTTTCTTGGTTTTTTTTTTTTTTTTTGAGACAGAATCTTGCTCTGTCGCCAGGCTGGAGTGCAGTGGCACCATCTCGGCTCACTGCAACCTCCACCTCTCAGGTTCAAGCAATTCTCCTGCCTCAGCTTCCCATGTAGCTGGGATTACAGGCACCCGCTACCATGCCCTGCTAATGTTTGCATTTTTAGTACAGACCAGGTTTCACCACGTTGGCCAGGCTGGTCTCAAACTCCTGACCTCAGGCGATCTGCCTGTCTTGGCTTCCCAAAGTGCTGGATTACAGGTGTGAGCCACTGTGCCCGGTTTTTCTTTTCTTTTTTTTTTTTTTAAACAGAGTGTTCCTTTGTCCCCAGGCCGGTGTGACACGATCTCAGCTCACTACAACCTCCACCTCCCGGGTTCAAGCAATTCTCCTGCCTCAGCCTCCTGAGTAGCTGGGACTACAGGTGCGCACCACCATGGCTGGCTAATTTCTGCATTTTTAGTAGAGATGGGGTTTCACCATGTTGGCCAGGATGGTCTCGATCTCTTGACCTCATGATCCGTCCACCTTGGCATCCCAAAGTGCTGGGATTACAGGTGTCAGCCACCGTGTCCCGCCCACGTGGGCATTTCTTACAGGACTCAAAGCTGATCACTTCCCAGGCAGCTGGTCACCTCCCTGTCCAAGATGCTAGTATCTACTCTTCTCCTCGCCCTGTGCGATCTGGGGCTCTGGGAGGCCCCTCAGGCAGTCTCCTAAGCGGTCTTGTGGGCAGCTCAGTGGTGACTGCTGTGAGGTACCAGGGAGACCAGCGTTCAGGCCATCTGATGCTGGCTCCGGGGAACTCTCTCCTTGCACTCAGATGGCATGGGAAGTCTAGGGGCACGCTGGCACAGCCCCTGGAGGGCACAGCCTTCAGCTTCCTGTGTTGATAGCCCCCAGGGAGCCCACCAGGCGCTCCTCCCCACTTGCATAGCCTACCCACACTTCAATGTCATCTTGGCAACTATCCCCACGATGCCTAACGACTCCCACAGACATGACCCCGCCAAGGCCAGGCATGCACCCTCCTGAGACAGGTTTGGGAGCCTGGATGCCAGCTTGGCTGTGCCTTCTCTGGCAAAAGACATTGCCCCTCTGTGACTCGGTTTCCCTATCTGTAAAATGATAATGTCAGTGAAATGTCAGAGGGTTATGGTGGACATTATTTTTTCAGTTTCATTTTATTTTTTTGAGATGGAGTTTCGCTTTCATCACCTAGGCTGGAGTGCAGTGGCGCAATCTTGGCTCACTGAAACCGCCGCCTCCAGGGTTCAAGCGATTCTCCCGCCGCAGCCTCCCAAGTAGCTGGGATTACAGGCACCGGCCACCATGCCTGGCTAATTTTTGTATTTTTAGTAGAGATGGGGTTTCACCATGTTGCCCAAGCTGGTCTCGAACTCCTGACATCAAGTGATCTGTTGGCTTCTGTCTCCCAAAGTGTTGGGATTACAGGCCTGAACCATGGCGCCCAGCCTCATGGCGAACATTAAATGAGTTAATACGCATAGGTCCGCACATGTGTAGAACAGGGCTTAGAACATAGAATGTGCTCATTGCGTGTTAGCTACTTTGCGGGGTGGGGGGAAGGATGCAGAAAAGCCCTCATCACAGCCCTCCCGACAGTCCGGCGCCAGGCCAGCTCCCCAGATCTCTATGGGAAAATGACCTCGACCTCTCGGCCGCAAGTCTAGCCCAGACACCATCCCCTGACCTGAGCACCCACGTCTGGAGAGCTCTAGGTGGGTCTGTATTGAAGAGAGCCACCCTCAGCCCTTCCCACCTTCTTGGGATCACAGTCTCCTTCCCCTTCACCACTGTGCCCACCAGTACTACAAGACTGATCTGAACCCCTAATCTGGGGAAGCCCACAAAGTCCCAGAACCCCTTTTAGCTGGCACCCTGGCCTGAGGCTCGAACCCGGGTCCATGCTGGAGGGCGGTGGCGGTTGCCGGGCAACACCCTGTTTGTTGGCGCGGGGGGCGGGGCCGGGGCCGGCGCGCGGTGACTCACCGCGGCGTGATGCGGGCGGGCGCGGCGCCCAGCAGCCTGGCCGGCAGCCCGATCTCCGCTGGCCTCGGCGTCCGGAGGGGCCCGACGGCGGGGGAGCCCCAGCCCCCAAGCGGGCGCCGGAGGCCCGTGGGGAAGCGGTCGAGCAGGCCCCGGGCTCCTGGACTCATTTCGAATCCCAGCCCTGCCTCTTAATCTTGATTCTTGACCTGTGACTTCAAAGCTCCTTACCTCAGTTTACCTTTCAGTAAAATGGAAGCGACACTGGAGGGTGCAGTAACCCACCACTGACGTTTGAGGCAGCTGAGATGATCATGCAGTGACACTACGGGGCAACAAGTTTGTGACATCCGGATTCTGCCTATGAATCTCCTGTGTTAAAGAAACTCTGCAACCTCACGGAAAATCAATTTCCCCATCTGTTACAGAGCAGTCGCAAGAACACCCTGCCTCTTGGGTGGTTTGAGGATCCCGTGAATTCATAGTGAGACAATGCATTTCGGCACCATGTCTGCTGCCCCATGGAGGGACGGGGTGTAGAAGGTTTTCTCTATGGTCCAAACTCAGGAGGGCAGGGCAAGACTGGCGCCCTTAGAAAGTGGGTGGCAGGTCACAGGCCCAGGGGAGGGTGTCGTGAATGTGTCTGCAGAGGCCCCTATCCCGAAGCTGGCTCTCAGCACCTGCTGTGGGGCGGGTGGGTGGAAGGGGGGCCTGGGGGTGAGTCACCACCCAGCAATGAGGCTTGAGTCACACAGGGCGGGGTCCCCCGGCAGCCCCCCCCAGCCGCTCCCACAAAGGCCCTTTGAGAAGAGTTCTCCACCCCCTACCCCCACCCTGTAGGCCCTCTCTGGGGGTGGGCACTGGGGCCGAGGCCCTGCTGGGCTGCCCCCCGGAGCCCAGCCTGAGTCTGGGAGACGCCAGCCAGTTTCTGCCATGTCTGTGAAAAGTCACCAAAGGAAGATGGGCATCCCCGGGGAAGGGGGCTTCTAGGCTGCCTGAGTCACTCGGATGGTGGAGGGTCACACACGCAGGGCCTACGCATACAAACTGGCATACGGGCAAACTGAGTCAGGCTGTCTGGTGGGGCAGGCAGGCCAGGAGGCTTGGAGTCAGGCTGCAAAGAAACCCCCGGAAGAGACGTGTCAGGGAAAGAGGGTGCTTGAGGGCACATCTGGTGGGCTTTGCCACGCCTGCTGCCCAGGCCGCCCCTCCTTGCCTGCCCCGAGACATTCTCCATTTTTTGCTCTGTCACCAGGCTGGAGGGCAGTGGTGGGATCTTGGCTCACTGCAAACTCCACCTCCAGGGTTCAAGTGATTCTCCTGCCTCAGCCTCCCGAATAGCTAGGATTACAGGCATGCACCACCATGCCCGGCTAATTTTTGTATTTTTAGTAGAGACAAAGTTTCACCATGTTGGCCAGGCTGGTCTCAAACTGCCGACCTCAGTGATCTGCCCGCCTCAGCCTCTCCAAGTGCTGGGATTACCGGCGTGAGCCACCTCGCCCGGCCCTTTCTATCCTTCTTACTCTTGGGGTGGGAAGAGCAGCAGGCTGGTGTGACTCCGGGGACGCACTCCACTAGGGGAAGAATCAAAATTAATTTTTATTGATGTATTTTATTTTTTATTTATTTTTTGAGACGGAGTCTCACTCAGTCACCCAGGCTGGAGGGCAGTGGCACAATCACAGCTCACTGCAGCCTCAACCTCCCAGACTCAGGTGATCCTCCCACCTCAGCCTCCCAAGTAGCTGGGACTACAGGCAGGCACCACCACAGCCAGCTAATTTTTGTGTTTTTGTAGAGACAGAGTTATGCTGTGCTGCCCAGGCGGGTCTGGAATTCCTGACTCAAATTCCTGCCCTCAAGTGTTCCGCCCACCTTAGCCTCCTAAAGTGCTGGGATTACAGGCATGAGCCGCTGGGCCCTGCCCTATTTGTTTATTTTTTTAGTGACAAGGATGTCTTCATGTTGCCCTGGCTGGCCTCAAACTCCTGGGTTTATGGGATCCTCCCGAGTAGCTGGGAATACAGGAAAGCATCTCCACACCCAGCTTTAGGATAAATTTTTTTTTTTTTTTTTTTAGGCGGGGGTTTGTTTTGTTGCCCCGACTGGAGTGCAATGGCGTGATCTCAGCTCACTGCAACCTCTGCCTCCTGGGTTCAAGCGATTCTCCCACCTCAGCCTCCCGAGTAGCTGGGATTACAGGCATGTGCCACTGCACCCAGCTAATTTTTGTATTTTTAGTAGAGCCAGGGTTTCACCATCTTGACCAGGATGCTCTCGAACTCCTGACCTTGTGATCCACCTGCCTCGGCCTCCCAAAGTGCTGGGATTACAGACGTGAGCCACCGCACCCGGCACAATCAAAAATTTTAAGACAGGGTCTCCCCACTGCTATCTCAAAGTCCTGGGCTCAAAGGATCCTTTCACCTCAATCTCCAAAGTAGCTGGAAGTAGAGGGGCAGGCACCACCACACCTGGCTAATTTATTTATCTTGTAGGGATGACGGTGTGAGTGCCTTGCTGTGTTGCCTGGAATGGTCTCCAACTCCTGGCCTGAAGTGGTCCTCAGCCTCCCAAGTAGCTAGGACTACAGGCATGTCCAACCACACCCAGCTCATTTATACATTTTGGGTTTTTTTTTTGTTTTTTTTTTGTAGAGACAGGGTTTTGCTTTGTTGCCCAGACTGGTCTTGAACGCCTGGCCTCAAGCAATCCTCCTGCACTGGCTTCCCAAAGCACTGGGATTACAGGCCTGAGCCACCTCGGCGGCCCACTTTGCTTTTTCCATTTGTTGAATGAATTGGCTACAAAGGGACTCACAGTACACAGAAGCTGCGCAAAGGGGTGATTCACATCCCAGGACTGTGGGAGATTTCATCACACTACACAGAACAGCCTGGAATGTAAAGGTGTGACTTGTTTTATTTCTGGAATTTTCTCTCTCTCTCTCTCTTTCTCTCTCTCTCTTCCTTTCTTTCCTTCCTTCTTCCCTTCCTTCCTTCCTGGAGGCTGGGACTGTGTCACCCAGGCTGAGTTCGGTAGCACGATCTCAGCTCACTGCAGCCTCCGACTCCGGGGTTCAAGCCATTCTCCTGCCTCACCCTCCCCAGCAACTGGGATTACAGGCGCCCACCACCACGCCTGCCTAATTTTTGCATTTTTAGTAGAGACAGGGTTTCACCATGTTCGCCAGGCTGGTCTTGAACTCCTGACCTTAGGTGATCCACCCGCCTCCGCCTCCCAAAATGCTGGGATGACAGGCGTGAGTCACCACACCCGGCATCTGGAATTTTCCATTTAATATTTTCAGACAGAAGTTGACCGAGGATAAGTGAAACTGAGGGACTGGAAACTGCAGATAAGGAGGACTACTACACACAGTCACATGTGTTTAGAATGTTCATAGACCGGCGCAACCGTCACCACAATGAACTTCAGTACATTCCTTTCCTTTTCTTTATTATTTTTTTTTTTTGAGACAGAGTCTCTGTCTAGGCTCATTGCAACCTCCACCTCCCGGGTTCAAGCGATTCTCCGACCTCAGAGTCCTGACTAGCTGGGGTTACAGGTAGCCGCTGCCACGCCAGATAATTTTTTTTATTTAAGTAGAGATGGGGTTTCACGGAATTGCCCAGCCTAGTCTCCAACTCCTGAGCTCAGGCAATCCACCTGCATCTGCCTCCCAAAGTGCCAGGATTACAGGCATGAGCAACTGCGCCTGACCTTTTTTTTTTTTTCTTTTGAGACAGGATCTCACTGTGTAGCCCAGGCTAAAGTGCGGGCTCATTGCAACCTCTGCCTCCAGGGCTTACTCCATCCTCCCACCTCAGCCGCCCAAGCAGCTGGGACTGCAGGCGCCTGCCACTACGCCCAGCTGACTTTTTGTATTTTTTTTTTTAGAGATGGGGTCTCGCTATGTTGCCCAGGCTGGAGTGCAGTGGCTATTCACAGGCGCGATCCCACTACTGATCAGCACGGGAGTTTTGACCTGCTCCGTTTCTGACCTGGGCCGGTTCACCCCTCCTTAGGCAACCTGGTGATCTCCGCTCCTGGGAGGTCACCATATTGATGCCGAACTTAGTGCAGACACTTGACCAGCATAGCACACTACAGCCCAGAACACCTGGGCTCAAGAGATCCTCCAGCCTCAGCCTCCCGAGTAGCTGGAACTACAGGCATGCGCCACCACACCCGGCTATTTTTTGTAAAGACAGGGTATTGCTATGTTGCCCAAGCTGTTCTCAAACTCCTGGGCTCAAGCAGTCCTCCCACATCAGCCTCCCAAAGTGCTGGGATTACAAGCGTGAGTGACCACGCCCTACCCAATTTTAGAACATTCCCATCACCCCAAAAAGAAATCTCAAGCCCATTAGAAATCACTTTTTTTGACACAGAGTCTCACCCTGTCACCCAAACTGGGGTGCAATGGCGCGATCTTGGCTCACTGCAACCTCTGCTTCCCGGGTTCAAGCACTCCTTCTGCCTCAGCCTTCCCAGTAGCTGGGATTACAGGTGCCTGTCACTACACCCAGCTAAGTTTTTGTATCTTTAGTAGAGACGGGGTTTCACCATGTTGGCCAGGCTGGTCTCAAACTCCTGACCTGGTGATCCACCCGCCTCGACCTCCCAAAGTGCTGGGATGACAGGCGTGAGCCACCGCGCCCGGCCAGAAATCACTTTCTATTTCATCCCCAACATCCTCAACCTCTGGCGACCCTGATCTTTTTGTCTCTGTGTATCAATGCTGTCATGGGGGTTCATCCATGTTATACCAACTGTGAGTACCTTATTCCTTTTTTTTAAATTGCATTTTAGGTTTTGGGGTACATGTGAAGAACATGCAAGATTGTTGCATAGGTACACACGTGGCAGCGTGATTTGCTGCCTTCCTCTCCTTCACCTACATCTGGCATTTCTCCCCAACCTTATTCCTTTTTATTGCACAATAATATGAGGTATGAGCTGGGGGCAGTGGCCTGTGCCTATAATCCCAGCCCTTTGGGAGGCTGAGGTGGGAGGATAACTTGTCCTCAAGAGTTCGAGACCAGCCTGCACAACATAGTGAAACCCTGTCTCTATAAAAATTGCAAAAATTGGCCGGGAACAGTGGCTCACACCTATAATCCCAGCACTCTGGGAGGCTGAGGCGGGTGGATTGCCTGAGCTCAGGAGTTCAAGACCAGCCTGGGCAACATGGTGAAACCCGGTCTCTACTAAAATACAAGAAATTAGCCGGGTGTAGCGGCAGGTGCCTGTAATCCCAGCTACTCAGGAGGCTGAGGCAGGAGAATTGCTAGAACCCGGGAGGCGGAGGTTGCAGTGAGCCGAGACAGCGCCACTGCACTCCAGCCCGGGCTACAGAGCGAGACTCCATCTCAAAATAAATAAATAAATAAATAAATAAATAAATAAATAAAATAAAAATGAAAATAAACAAAATGGAATGACCAAAGCTATGTCCAGGGAGTAAAGCATTTGAGAAGCAGATGCTGTCTCACAAGACTGAGAAAGGGAAGGGATGGCCGGGCACGGTGGCTCACGCCTGTAATCCCAGCACTTTGGGAGGCTGAGGTGGGCGGATCACAAGGTCAGGAGTTCGAGACCATTCTGGTCATATGGTGAAACCCCATCTCCACTAAAAATACAAAAATTAGCCAGGCATGATGTCACATGCCTGTAGTCCCAGCTACTCAGGAGACTGAGGCAGGAGAATTGCTTGAATTTGGGAGGCAGAGGTTGCGGTGAGGCAAGATCACGCCACTGCACTCCAGCCTGGGTGACAGAGTGAGACTCAGTCTAAAAAAAAAAAAAGAGAGAAAGGGAGGCATGTCAGAAGGATCTCCCAAGGCCAAGGAAGAAGCAGGCAAAGGTGACAGGTATGACATGGAGGCGAGGTGTCAGCAGTGAGATCAGACAGCTGCCTGACAATGGGAGGGACGGCAATAAAGGCGGGGCCACAGAAATGAACCCTGAGCCACGACTGCAAGCCACACGTGTAACGAAAACTTTTTTGGCAGCCACGTGTTTTTTAAAAGGGACAGGTGAAATTAATTTTATTTTATTTATATTTATTTATTCATTTTTGAGACGCAGTCTCTCTCTGTCACCCAGGCTGGAGTGCAGTGGCAGGATCTCGGCTAACCACAACCTCTGCGTCCCGGGTTCAAGCGATTCTCCTGCTGCAGCCTCCCTGATAGCTGGGATTACAGGCATGCGCCACCACACCCGGCTAATTTTTGTATTTTTAGTAGAGACAGGGTTTCACCATGTTGGCCAGGCTGGTCTTGAACTCCTGGCCTCGGGTGATCCACCTGCCTTGGCCTCCCAAAGTGCTGGGATTACAGGCCTGAGTCACCATGCCCGGCTGCCATTGCTTTCAATAATAGCTGCATTTCAGGTGCTCAGTAGCCACATGTGACCAGTAATAACGTCAATGCAGTCCAGACAGGCCTGAGTGCTGCCCTGTGTGACTCACGTCAGTAACCTATCCCTAATCGCAGCCCTGTTGCATCCTGTCTTTATTGAAAAAAACAATTGTTTTTTTAGACAGGGTGGAGTGCAGCGGAGTGATCATGGCTCACTGTAGCCTCAGCCTCTAGAGCTCAACCAATCCTCTCACTCCTGCCTCCGAGTAGCTGGGACCACAAGTGTGCACCACCACGCCCAGCTCATTTTTAATTTTTCTTTTCTTTTTTTTTTTTTGAGACGGACTTTCACTGTTGTCACCCAGGCTGGAGCGCAAGGGCGCAATCTCGGCTCATAGCAGCCTCCGCCTCCTGGGTTCAAGCGATTCTCCTGCCTCAGCCTCCAGAGTAGCTGGGATTACAGGCGTGTGCCACCATGCTGGCTAATTTTGTATTTTTAGTAGAGACGGGGTTTTTCCACGTTCGTCAGGCTAGTCTTGAACTCCCAGCCTCAGGTGAGCCACCCGCCTCGCCCTCCCAAAGTGTTGGGATTACAGGCGTGAGCCACTGCACCTGGCCAATTTTTAAATTTTTTGTAGAGGCCAGCCATGGTGGCTTACACCTGTAATCTCAGCACTTTGGGAGACCAAGGTGAACGAATCATTTGAGGTCAAGAGTTTGAGACCAGCTGGTCAACATGGTGAAACCTGTTTCTACTAAAAATACAAAAATTAGCTGGGCTTGGCGGTGGGCACTTGTAATCCCAGCTACTCGGGAGGCTGAGGCAGGAGAATCACTTGAACCTGGGAGGCAAAGATTGCGGTGAGCTGAGATTGCACCACTGCACTCCAGCCTGGGTGACAGAGTGAGACTCTGTCTCAAAAATAAATAAATAAATTTAATTTTAAAAAACTTCTTGTTGGGGCACAGTGGCTCATGC